GGAGGTGGGTGGTTGGGGGGGGGGGGGGATGCGCGATAACTTAAGCTGGTGCCGGCGCTGCGATGCGGCTGCAGGCTCTCGGCGGCAGCCCGCGTCCCGTTTGAATTACTTTCATTTTATTTTTAAATGCCTCGATTCTGCGGTATTAATTTGCTCTTCGGTTTCGATATTAATATCGAACGCGGACTAAGGTCGCCGGCGTTTGTTTTCGGTGGTAAATAACCGCTCAACTGATTGACTCCACGTGGCGTTTTATAAAATGCGGGCTCGATGGTCTTTCTTGCTACCCCGGGCTGGTAGCGCAGGTGAGCGGGAGGCAGCGAAAGCGCCCCGGGGTGTCTGCAACAAATCCAGCCCCCTTACTTAACGCCAGGTTTGTCGACATGGGGGAAATGCCAATAATTTGGAATAAAATGAGTAACGCCGAGGAAAGGCACTGTGGTGTGCTCAGGCTTGAAGGCTCACCTGGCATTAGCCCAGCACTAACTAGCAGCCGTCCTGGGAGCGTTTTGTTCAAAAAATATATATATATAATAATAATAACAATAATAATAAAATTTCAGCAAAATGACTATTCTTGGACAAAATCTACTTTTTTTTTTTTTTGTTCTGATTGTGCTGTGGCTTTTGTTTCACTGTATTTGCCACTGTACTGTAGCTGAAAGGTTGCAAACAGTTTTGGGAACAAGATGTCTGCCTAAAGCATGACAGAATTGGCCACAAATTGCAGATGCTACTGATAACAAAAGCCAACAACATAAAAATATGTAGAAAAACAACACGTTAGAGGCTACAAGACCACTGGAGCTCTTTTTTGTGTGTTTTGAGCCGGTTCTGTAATGATGGAAGTGAAAAAACACATGAAAAGAAACTGCCTTCTTTTTTTTTTTTTGAGGGGGGCTCTAATCGGATGCTCTGTCATTAAAACATCACTAAACGAATCGGCCAGGCTGCTGCGGCGGAAGCCCCCCGCGCGTTGGCCTCTGGGGACTGGAAGGAGCGGGAGTCCTTCCAGCCGGCCTCGGGCATCCCTCTCTCAGCGCCTCGGTTTTCTCGAAGCGAAGGGGGAAAAAAGGTCCATGTAGCTGCCTGCTAGGATCCGGCTTGCTTTGTTTTAATAAATCAGGCTCAGCTCAGAAATTAGGATGAGGTTTTTGTTTTTGTTCTACTTATTTAATCTTTGTTTTTATAAATAAATACAAATAACTCAAACTGAAACTTGATGGCTTTGGTGATAATAAAAGAGCAGCCCTGGGGAAATTTTCTTCATTAACATGTTCTTTCACAGCCCACACTCAAGTTTCGGTAGGAAAACTGCTTAACCTTTTCAGCGGCGGCAGCAAATACCTTTTGAAGTCCTGACATGCTCAAATTTTGGGTTCATAATTTGAACACGGCGACGAATCGCCAGGGCTGGCTTCTATTTTAAGGCGCGGGAGCAGAGAGCTGGTGCTGTCGTTTTCTTTCGACTGAATCGGTGCGCTCACCACGCTGAGCGCCCCTCGCCTCCATGGGAGGTGCCTCTCATTTGCCTGAAACACCTGCAGAAAGGCAGGGAGGAGAGTTGCCTCGATGATACTTTCCATCAGAAATCGGGGCCACGGTTTGGCAGGCAGAGCGCATCGAACGCGCTCCACGTGCACGGCCCCATGTCCTTTGGGGTAGCTTTCCGGCTCCTTGCTTTGCCCACCGCCCCCATCGTCCCTTCCCTTCCTGGCGGCTGCCCTAGTGCAAATCCTGCCCGCGGGAGGCCGGCGAGGCGAAGCAGTTCAACCAGCAGGCTGGAAAGAGGTGGTGGAGCAGCCCTTGCTGGGAACGCACGGGCTCTGCACATCGCCTTAGCCGGTCCTTGGGGACCACGGGAGCGCGGAATGGGTGCAAAAGGGTGGCTTTTGGTGCAGCAGTGGGGTAACGCCTTGGTGTCACTGGTCCAGGCAGTTTTGGGGGGGGGGGGGGGAGTTTTTTGGAGGCGGGGGGGGAGCCTTGCACACCTGACGCTTTTGAAAAGAAAAAAGGGCAACCCCACTGCTTCACAGCGCAGCCCAAGACACGGGCTCCTCTGAGAAACGCACAGAGCCCTCCTTCCCAAGTGACTTCTCACCCCTTTTCCGTGCCAGTTTCTAACTATAGTCTCTGAGCAGAAGGAAGAGCATAAAAAAGATGAGAAAATAAAAAGAAAGGCAGGGGTTTTTTTTGTTTTTTGTTTTTCATTTTTTTGCAAGGCAGACCTACTAGCTCTTCTTACAGCATACTAGTTTTTAGTATTTGCAGCTCACTTCCTGTATGAGGTTAGTTTGTTTATCGTAAAAACCTATTTTTAAACCCATTTCTGCCAATAAGTAATTTGAATGTTAATGTCAGTCACTAGTAATGTTTCCCTCTGATTCATGGGAAGGCGCTGCCGTCGTTGCTCTCTGCGCTGGGCTCTGAATCACCGTCTCAGGAGGAAAAGGGCGACAAGATCAGGAGCAAGGAAAGAGCGGGGACGAAGGGGGGGGGAGAGATTCGTCAAAGACGACTCTGACCATGAACTCTCCTGTCCACAGCTCAACTCACCCCGCAGCCCAGAGACATTGCAGAGCAGCGGGGAGACAAGGCAGGCGCCCAGGAGGAATATCTGGGGGCTTTCTGCCCATGGGGCTGCAGAGACACAGTTCTCTTGGTGCAATATTAGTCCCATCCATCAGTGCTGTCCCAGGAGGGACCAGTGCTGCGATGTTCACAGTGTCTGTGCAGGTCTGAAGTTTTCTCCTAAGCCCCCTCTTGTGTCCTTTATGCCTTTTAATGAGGTCTTGCCTGTGCCTCTTTTGGGACGATCCCACTAGGAAATCACTCATGTCTGCTGCTCGGGCGAGAGGGCAAGCAGGGCACATGAAAACCAGCATTTGGTGGGATGTCCCATAAATAGGCATTTTTTCCCCTGGCTGTATCCCTCCTCCCTCCTTCAGCACCTATGTCCTTGGTGTTGAGCTGGTTGAGTTGTACTTGATGTTTTTCATTAGAAATTAAGCTCAGGTCTCTTGCTCACCGTGTGCCTCAGATCTGCCTTAGCCTCCTGCTTAGCCTTAGCTTTCCAGACCTGTTTTTTGTGGTGGTATGGGCAGACCAGTGTGTTGCCCTGTTGGTAATACGGAGGTGGTGGTCAGCGTTTTTTTATCTGTGCTTTTGTTTCAGAAACACTGTAAAGTGAAATGGGAGGCGACCTGAGGCAGTTGCTCAAACTAGCAGCAGGACCGTAAGCCCTTCTTGGATGCCTGGGTTGGCTGATGGTACGTTCAGACGGGGTCACGGGCACCCCAGCACCCGCGCACTGGCCGCACTGGACATTTGCAGCGCTGGACAAGGTTGCAATGTTCTGGGCACAGGTTACAAGTGCTGGCTGGAGCGCTCTGGTCACGACCGTGCTTAGAGCTTCTGCTACAGCACATGCATTAATCCTAGCTTGTACAAAAACACTGACCGCCACTGGGACAGAGGTGGCCTAAGTTATTTAAATGCTTCCTGGAAAACGCTAAAGATTATTAAACAAAAATAGCCACTGCGTTGTAATAGGGAAGGAGGGATGCAGTTTATTATTAGTAATAATGAACGTTAGTACTATAATCTATGAAAATAGTTTAGGTCACCGCTGTCTATCAAGTAAAACATCTTGAAGGGAGCCTTCGTTTGAAGGCTAAACTCGATATTTAATTTTCTCCAAACTCTACTATAAATAGTCTCCGTGTGACACGATACCAGGCTGTCATGTCTTCTAAAGGCACCCAGACAAAGGGAGCCCTTGTTTGTGAGCACTTGCAAAGCATGTCAGATATGAGCCAGAAGAGAAACACTTCTCTCTGAAAAAGAACCAAAAGCAACAAAATAAACCCATCCCAAACTGAAACGCGCGCTGTCATTTTTGGTAACGAAACCTCTCTTTTCGGGTACAGCGAGTAACAAGCAGTAGAGGCAGAACACTACCTAAGAGACCTGCAGCAAAGATATGTCAAAGAAAAGGTCCCTAGCGAGGCCACAAGAGCTGATAGCCCTCGTTCACATGGGTCATGGACTCTTCTTCTCAGATTAGGGGCTGGGAGAGGGCCTTCTCCAAAAATTGCAGTTTAAAGCTAATTTTGGAGAAAGCAGATATAGCAGGGAGGTGAGAACTGGATTTTTACCCGGGGACACCAACTTTTGTTGTTCATAGTAATGCTATCGGTTTATAATCGCCAGCCAAGCCCGTGGGACATCACACACCAAGCTCAAGGCACGATTTCCCAGGGTTTAAGGCTCTTTTGCAGGGCCCAGCTGACACAAAATCTTGGGCAAGCATGCACAGCTGCTCACCTCCTTGCAACCGGTGTGTGAAGGAGCCACGGGGGACGCAGCGCACTGCCTGGGAAGCCTGGCTTGCCGGGACCTCAGCACATTGGCAGCAAGAGGCATTTTTCTCTGCGCTGCCTGCAAATCTGGGCCACAGTGCAGGAAGTAGTGACGGGCAAGTGCGCATCTGCAGGGCTCCTGCTGGTGTTTGCAGATCAGTGTAGAAATAGCTCCCAGTTTGCTGGGGTTTATACTGGGCTGGCAGGTGCTTCCAGGACCTGCATTCTAAAGACTGAAATCACTGCATGAGGCTAATTCTTAATTAACTGCAAGGAACAAGGTGTCATCACCCAAATCGTAAGGACTGGGCTAGGCCTAATCTTACTTAACAGTCTTCTCAATGCTGAAGAACAGCTTGGGCTGACCTTAAAAGGCCTCCTCCTGCCCGGAACTCTGCACCCGATGTCACCTAGCAATAAGGGTATTGCCACTTCCAGTTGGAAGGAAGTGCATCCTCTGTGCAGTCTAGGGATGTGCATACGCTGTATATCCACTGGAGTTGCATGTTATGTGTATATTATCGTAGTGACAAAGTGTAAGCGCACAGAGTGAAGGCTTCCGTGCTGGGCATCTGCTTCAGGCTAGATATTGCTTTTCTAATTGGAAAAAAACAAGAGAAGGCTCCAACTATCTTCCACTGGAGGAACAAGATTACGTAGAAAAACATTGCTTGGTTTGCATTTTTTACAGCAGTCTTCTCACTGAGAAGCTCTAGCACCCTCGTGCTTTGGAGGCACATAGATCCGGTGGGAGCTGGAGAAAGGGAGAAAGCCTAGGTGTGCTGAGGTCAGGGTGCTCGGCTCCACATCCCTTCAGCTTGCCCAGGTTGGCTTTGCAATTCCACAGTGTTCTTTTTAACATAGGCATCAGCAAGTGGAATTTAACAGTAAAGCAAGTGGCAGGGAAAATTTTGCTGGGAGCCAGAAATAGTTTGTTAACACTGGAAGCAAAGCAAGTTTATGGCAGAGATAAAAACCCCTTCCAAGTGGCTGCTCATCACTGCATGCAAGAACCATTTGATTGCAGAGAGCATGTAGGAACATAATAAGGAAGAGGCTAGAAATGAGTCTTTAATTGCATTTTTTCCTTTGTTTTTGCTCCCAAGAGTATGAAGGCTCTTCATGTCATTCCTTGTGCAAATCTTTCTCCAGGTTAAGCACACTACCACTTTAGACATGCAAATTAGAGCCAATTAGAGCAGAATTTGTGTGCCCTGATACTGAAATGGGCAGCAGAGTTCACATTCTGTGAAACTATGCATTTTACTGCTCTGTGTTTCCCCAGTTTAGGGAATTAATATCATGCCTTTAAAAAAAAAAAAATTTCCCTAATTAAAATCCCAAACAATTATGTCTTTGTCAAAAATTGTTCATTCAGTGCATGAAGTGCATAATCACACCAAGAAGCAGCATATGTTTTAATTAACTCCAACCCACAAGGCAGGGAAATGAAGGTTCCCAGCATGCACTCTGAGCGAAATTAAAATATGAATCTGTCAAAAGACTGATGAGGAAAAATTCTTCAAATTGTAGTAGAAAAGTCCCTACTTCCTCCTGCCGCTGAACATCAAACATCTCAGCAGCTCCACTTTTTCTTCTTCATTGTCAAAGTCATAATATGTTTCCTGTTTATCTGAAGATGTCAATGGTGATTTATGGGATGAAACCCAGATGCATGCTCGTTCTGCTTAATGATCTTCGTTCAGCCTGTTGTGAGCTTATGGTGACGTCTGCGACATCCATCCCCGATGTCCCCAGCATTGCAAGGCAGGAAATGGCTAGTGATGCCTCGACCATCCCCAGCACACCTAGCAGCATTTCCCGACACAACTCTCAGAGGAGTCTTATGAGGGGGTTCATATATTAGGCAGAGCCCAGGTACAAGTCAGGTGGGATTGGAGGCAGGCCTAGCAGAAAAGCCTGTTACAAAAGTTGCCCAATGATGGCCATTCAAAGATCCTATTTTCAGGTGTGCACAAAGCTTTAAGCATTTAGGGCAAATTCTTTCCAAGACGAATTTGGCCTAGAATCACAGACTCGCAGAACGGTTGAGGTTGGAAGGGACCTCTGGAGATCATCTCGTCCAAACGCCCTGCTCAAACAGCGCCCCAAGGGGGAGAAGCGAGGGCAGGGTTTGCTGGCTCAGAGGGGAAAGGCAACAGCACCCCTGGGAAGGAGACAACTGTGCAAACTTCCTCCAACCCTAAATGTCACCATGCCTCCCCTCCAGTACACACATCTAAATGTCACAACCTAGAGCGTGGCCAGTGAAGCATGGCAACCAGGGCAGTATCTGGGCAAGTAGGAGGGACTGGTGGAGAAACCTATTTCAAGATCCTGATGTCTTCTGCTGCAAAAGCCTCTTGCCCTCCTGCAGGCCTTTGTCCGTCTTTGGTGTTATTCACCTTGCAAATCTGTGTGCCACAGTCCTTTTGTGTGGCCTTTTGTGTGGGGAGATTCTCACGCAGGCTGAGCCAATCAGTGCTGCTCCTGCACCTGGTCCTTGGCCATAAATAATCCCATCCAGTCGCTTCCCTGTCCCACACCATGTACCCCCATCCTGTGCCTCCATCTGTCCACAGGCGCTCCTTGCAGCGGCATGGGTATGGCTCTTGCCCTACTGGGATGGATTTGTGCTTCCTGAAATGCCCAGCCTCGACGTGAGCATCGCATAACTGTAAACAGACAATCAAAAGTTGCTCTGTTGCTGGGGCTTTTTTGGTCTCTGTTTCCTCAAAATTAACTTCTCAGAAAAGAGTTTCATGTAACCATGAACTGTTTACCAGGAAGACAAAAACCCCAGAAAAACTAATAGTAAAGGGTTTTGTCGAAGTTCAAGCCTTTGAAGAGGATTAATGCTCTTTTGAACCATTTTGCTATATTTTGCTAGTTCCAAACTCTTAGTTACTGGAAAAATTGTACTTGCTTTGACTTGCTTTTCCCCATGTTAGCCCCCAACCAGCTCACCCTCTGGTTAGATGCATGCAGAGCTGGAGTCATTTCTAGCACTGCTTAGCTGGACACGGTGGTTAAAAGAGGTTTGGCTTATCTGCATTCAGGAATACCACAGGTTATAAACTGGATTTCCCCCATATTTAGGAAGAGGCTTGCTCGATTCTTGGAGCTGTAGCCCAGATGAGGCCTCCATTCCCTTCTCAAAGACCTTATTGACATGTCCATTTCGAACTCTTTGGTGCCTCCTTCTTACAGGTTTGGTTTTGGAGCCTGTGCCTTTGCACAGGGAGCCTGTCTTGGCCAAGGACTTGGCCTTCGCTTTGAAGGACAGTCCACGGACACTCCCGGCTTTGCCCTGCTAAGCATCAGAGCAAGCAAAGCAGAAGAGAAGCTCTAAGGCTTTCAGGAGCGCCAGGTCCTGGGCTGTTTTGTGACATCGTCCCTGCTTCCTGGCCAGGGAAAGTCTGAGCTTGTGAAACCACCTTTTTTGACCCAAAACATGCTGAAGGGAAGCCATGCATTACACTGGCTGGCTGGAAAGGATGGCCGCAGAGTCAGGCAGGCTTGGCACAGGGCCAGCCCTCGCTCCCTCTCCCTCGGCCGGTTTGGCTGCAATCTGCAAACAGGAGAACGAGCCTTCGCTTTGTGCCGGACTAGATGTGTTAATGAGATGGTGCCATTTGTTAATAATAGCTTCTCAAAACAGTATCGCGCTCCAGATCACTCTGGCCTCAGGTTTTACGATGCTGAGTGTGTGGCAGGGGAGCTTGTGTTCTTCTAAATCCTATTATGTGTGACCTGGAGGTGTTTGCTGATAAGTGTGTACTTCCCAGCCAAGAGAGAGGCTTTTCTGCTTCGTCTGCTGTTGCTGTCTGGAACGGTGTTGTGTTGAAATGTGGGACAGTGCTTTCCCCTCCACGGCTTGGCAGCTGCCAGGCATCCTGCCTTTCCAAAGCCACCACCGAGCCGCAGCAGATAAGGCTTCACTGTCCCAAGGACAGGTAGGACTTGCCCACCGAGGACTAAAAATCAGTGAGTCACTAAGAGATGCAATCTGTCGATTCAGGCTGTGCTTGTCTAGAGCACGACTGCAATCAGGAGAATTTAAGCAGAGGCTTAAGATTAAGCTTGTGCTTCAATAGAATGGAGTCACCTGCTGGGAACTGGCTCTTAAGAAGACAAACCAGTTCTGTCCCTTGGGGTCTTTGCCATGAGAAGCCCCACACTTCCCCTACTTCCCTATGGGAAATCTATTCCCTCCTTTGTTACTAAGCAGTTGTAGAGCTGTGGCAGACAGCTGGGCTGCACCTCGGCGCGTCGCCTGCAGCTGCAATTTCAGCATCAAACTTCACGGCCATCAACACGAACAACATCGTAATCAGGACACAGCACTGATTAATGATGTAGACTTGCTAACTTCAGTGTTCAACACTTTTTCCCTTGGCTTTCTAACTGCATAAGCAAATTTCCCCAGTAAATCTACAAGGCAACAGAGGGTAATAAAATAAAAAGGATGTCGCAGATAAGCAGTGTTGCCTCAGCAGACCAGGCTATTCAGCTGCAAGCAAAACAAACCCTTGTTTGACACTGAGCTTTCTGTTTTGTCTCACACCATGGCTTTCTGCAGCTAATTCGGGTCTTGGAAGAGCATGTGGCTAGCTGGGTATCCAGCGCAGCCCTGTGCCTCTCACAGATGGAGCAAATTCTGCCTCTGCAATTGGAAATTGTGGGCTTCCTCCCCCTCCCATCCCATCCCACCAGGCTTGCTCCAGTCCCTACCCCCAGCATTCGAGCCCTGGGTGCTTCTCTAATTTAGGGCTGCAGGGAAACTGGGGGTTTCCTAAGCCAGGAATGAGTGGGAAAGGGAGAGCTGAGGCTGATATTGGAGATACTGTGTGGCTCTGATGTGCAGGAGCAGGGATGTCTGCAGCAAGAGGGAGCTGCACAGACACCATCAAGGACCTCCAGGAATAGCTGCTGCTGCCAAAAAAAAAAAAAAGCAATTAGGCTATCAGCTGGCAGCCTGGCACCTTTGCCAGCCTCTGCAGATGAGAGACGCTCCCTTCTACCGGGACCTGCTGTGCCAGGGCCCGTGCCCTTCTCCCCAACCAGTTGCAGCAAGCTGTCCAAAGATCTCTGCCAAACCCAAATCCCGAGGTGTCTCCTTCCTTCCCAACCTCCTTGGATGCTGCTGCTTTCCGCAGCGGCGGCTTCCGTTCTGACAGTTCATCTTGCTCCGGCACCCCTGGCAGTCTCTTCCTCCATTCGTTCCTGTCTCTGATGCTTCTTGCAGTGTCTCTTTTGGATGTCTCTCGTCCTCCTCTCCCACTCTCTGTAGGAGCCCGATGAGGTTCTGTCTTGGCTTCCGCCTCTCCTTGCTCTGCCCGGGGCCATTTCGTGTGCATTACTGGGACCAGAAGCCCTGGGAAGATGAAGTGACAAACCACGTCCATGGCTGAACTGGGACAAGACCACAAGTTCCCTTGCAGCTTTGTTGACTGCGGCAGCCACGTAGACACTCCTCATCATACTTCTGCTGAGTCTGAAGAAAAACCAATCCAGTAAGATTGGATCCAGAGTGAGAAAAGGACTTTTTTACACCTTCTTGGAAGAGGTTTCTCCACCCCTCCCCAGGGTTCCTTGTATTAGAAAACCATGCATGTTTCCTGTGCGATAGCACAGCAATTTGGAAGATCACGGGTTGGTAATTGTTGCAAGACAGGGTAACATAGCAGGATTCGAGCTTATTTGTTTTTCTTACTTGGACAGAGATGATAAGCCACCAATAAAAATTAAACAATCAAAACTGTGGATACATTGTGTCTGAGTTCTCAGGGAATTAACATGTGTCAGGGCAAGCACCCCGTGCACTCTCTGTGTTTTTATCTCCCTGCCATCTAAGCCAGTTCTGCTAATCTCCAACATATGTTGTAGCTGCGAGAAACTCATCTACTGTGCATGAAGCCGAAATGGGAGGCATTAAAATGGCCCTAAATTTTGATCAGCTATCACTGATGAAGCTAGCTCTTAAACATGATTTACAAAAGGTGGTTGCTGCGCAGATCCGGTGATGTATGGCGTCTCCTTTGCCTTGTGCCCCCGCGCGCAGCGATCTCCGGTTGATTTTCTTCTGGGACATTATTGTTCCCCAGGAGCTCCAGCACACGTGTCAGGGGGAGAGCAGAAAAATGCATGGGTCAGCAGCGAAGAAGTGAGGTCTCAAAGCCACCATGGCCCAGGTTTTAAACTGATTCCTGGGATTTCCATCAATTCATGCATAGCGGGCGTTCAGCTTGGGAAAGGGCAGTGATGGGGCAGATATCTCCCAGGCTTGGAGGTGCGGGAATGCTGAACCCTGGCCCTTTGCAGTGAGCACCAGCTCCCAACCTAACCCCGCTCTCCCCCTACTCAGAACTTGCTTCAGAGTATCTGGGGGCTTGAGATATTTCCATGGCTGGGCCAAATCCAAAAGGCAAAACATTTTCCCCCGAAGTTTGCCCAAATCACTGTATGTGTTCTTTGAGTGATTCAAGCATGAAAAACCGCTTTTCCCTGTAGGGTCATATCAAGCAGTTTATGCTTAGATAACTCAAAAGCTGATGAAGTAAGAAAGCCAGACTCTCAGCTGCAGTGCAACCCTACAGGGGCTGCAGCTCTGCTGACTCGTTGCCCAGCTCTTCCCTGGCCTGTGCATCCTGTAGAGCAGTCATGGGGCTGCTCTAAGCTATCCCAGATGGCAAATGGCTCCTCAGAGCCCTCAACTCCCGGCACCTCTTTCCCCATCACCTCCCCGAGGTCTCTGTGCTCTGGACCTGGGTTTCCCCCGCAGCATCCTTGGCCTGTTGAACCCCCTGACCCTCAGTCCAGCTCTGCACAGGCTCCCTGTAGATGAGCATCTCTGAGCCGTGCCGTAGACAACATGACGAGCAGCTGGCGGCTGTGGTTTGCTCTGTCTCTTTTCTCTGCTAAGGGGGAATGGCGTGGCGTGTTCACTGGAGTGTTTTGTTTTGCTAGAGCTCTGTTTTGTTTGTGTTTTTAATATGGTCAGGCTCCTCTGAGCTATTCTTACTGATGGCAAAGGCCAGCGACATGGGTCCTCCTCTAGGAGGGGCAGGGGGGTGGGAACGGGCTTTTCTTCCCGTACCTCTGTCTGCACCAGGCAGGCATGATCTGCCTGGGAGAAGGAGGAGCAGAGACCCTTTAGGCAGTGCTTGTTGCAGCTTTTGGAGGCGGGCTGCTGGGCAGACCAGATCTTCCCACTTTGTCGAATGAGGATATTTGCCACATCCCTTGGTGGAAGCTGGGAATGGTCCCAAATCTGCAGCAAAGTGGGAGAGCCAGCAAACCCCTTCACCCCAGGGTGCAGGCAGATGTAGAACCCGGGGCTTCCTTTGAGTGTACTGTAGCATAGCAAGACAGGGGCTGCTCCAAGCGAGCTATGCCATGGCTCAGGTCGAACTTCCCCACTGCTCTCCCTGACCTACCTACCCTGGGTGGCCTCACATTTGTCAAAGTGTCTAACTGGAGCATGAACGGGGAGCCCTTTGCAGGTGCTGGGTGCTGGCAGGGCAGTGCCTGCATGCAAAGGCACTTTAGGGGATGAAGCACCTCCTCTCTGAAAAAGCACGTCAAAGACCTGAAAATAGAAAAAACCCTAGCCTTGCAGCACTGAGCATGGAGGAGCGGCTTACACTTTCACCTGCTGCTCTGCCTTTGCTCTTTGCCGAGCTTTCACCTGCGAGCTGCAATACCTGCATGCAACAGCATCTCTGAGCTGCACCACCATGCAGAGGACTCCCCACAGGCAGGGCAGGAAAAGACACTGCCCACGCCACGGAGTCTGCAAACTCCAAATTCACACATTATCCCTGAGCCAGCAGGGGCTACCATGGCAGTCATTGAGTTTGGGAAGGAAGAACACTTGAGTAGTTCAGCAATAATGTACCCATCGTGGTTTAAATCATATGCAAATGCATGGCAGCACCACAAAACAACAAATCTTTGTCCGCAAAGAAGGCAGAGAATGTTACCAAAAGTAAAAAGGCAGCCGGCCCGCAAGGCAAACTGTTTACGGCTCAGCATCTCAGATGCATTTGTAGCATCTGGGACTGTGGCATTTACTGAGCAAGCCACAATGGTAGTTTCATATCACAGTTTGGGCAAGTTGAAGCCTCCTCTGCTCAGCAGAAAAGTCCCTCCACAAAACCTTCCACAAACCTCCCGCAGCAAGCAAGTGAATGCAAGAGGCGGAAAGGCTAGAAGCAGAACTTTGCAGGACAGTCACCAGGGTATCGGCTATCCCAGCCCTGCCGCGGCAGCTGGTTCAGCTGCAGCCAAGCCGTGGAAAGAGGCCAGTCGCCTGGTCCGTGGCCCCAGCGGGGTCAGCTCTGGCAGCCCACGGGCTGGAGATGACTCTTCCACTGCATTTGGTCTGAGCCACATCAGGCTGGTGGGTCTCAGGCAGCAAACTGCTGCCAGAGCAGCATGGCCAGCAGATCTGGCCAGGAGGCAATATCTCACCAGTGGTACAAGAACAAGGACTGGGAGCCCTGGTGGCTAGCTGGTGGTGCTAAACCCTGTGCCACACAAACATGGGTCCTGCCTCAAAACCACCTGTGGAGAGAGCAGCTCCACCATATAACCAGTGTGCCGATTTTCTTTCCGTCTCTAAACCAAGCTTCTCTGCCTCAAATTAATTCTTGAAAAGATCATCTTTTTTTTTTTTTTTTTTGACTACATGTTGTGTTGTATCTTGGCAGGAGATCCTAGCGCTACGCACAAAAGGAGCGCTACATGGATTTAAAGCCCTGGCATTTCTCCACGGTGGCCTAGGCTAGCATCCAATTCAGGTCAAAGTGCCAAAAAAATTTCTCCCTATCTCCAGGAGGGTCGCAGCCCTCTGCCCTGACACTGTACAATGGAGCCAGGCAGTGAAGGCTGCAGCTTGGAGAAGGGATCCCTGCCCTGTTTGGCAGCCCCCAGGGCCCTGGGAGAGAGACACCTGGACCCACTCATTCCCCTCTGACAGGCCCTATCAGTGCTGCGCTGGAGCGGATTAACAGGGCTTACACAAACCACCTTGCTCCATTCTGCCTGGGAGCAACAAAACTGACCAAAATACTGAAATGAATCATTTTTATTAAAGAGAGAGTGGGAGGGAGGGATTGCGCTTCAAATGGTTGCACGCAGAGTGCAGCCGAGCCCAGGAGTGCCCCAACGGAGGCTGCGGGGATGGCGGGTGGTGTCTCCTGGTCCCGGTGCCCCACGAGGCGCGTGCGTGGTGCTGACTCGGTGGCGGGCAGTGGATGCTCCTGCTTTGCACCAGGCTTTCCTGCTGTGGGTTTGGGCTGGGGTGGGACCTGCTCCGTGTACTGTCCTTGCATGGACAGCTGCTCAGTATCTGCCCCACACATGTGCTTCTGGACCTGGAGGCTCGCTCCAGTGTGTCATTCCTCGACCTCCTTGGATGGTCATAAATCTGCTGGAGCAGTCACATTTTGGGAGGCCTGGGGAGGAGACGCTGGAGGAAGTGGGAAACCCTAAAGGGCTGTGGGAGGGATGCTCAGCAATAGGCTTGCTCCTTGGAGCAGTGGACGGTGCCATTAGGGGGCAGGGCTAGGAGATCTTCTCCTCCAGTGACCATGGGCCTTGCTTGTGTCTCAAATGCATAGGCTGGGGTGCCTACTCAACCACCTGCAGCAGGTTGGGATTGTCAACGTGAGCTGTGACCTTTAACGGACCTGACCCTCGTCTCACATGGGGGCAGGTGATGGGGAAAGGAACCTCACTCGGCAGCCCCATGAATCACAGAGGCCAGAGACAACTAGCACAAGCAAAATATCCACTCTAAAAAAAAAAAAAACCCCAAAACAGGCAGGCAGGGGAGGGAGTGTGAAGCACGGGGGCCACTGCTGACCTGTCTGGGGACCAAAAGGATTTGCTTCATCCCCACAGGCAT